TGGGGACATGTCTCAAGTGGTAGAGTACCAAGCACAAGCTCTGCATTCAAACTCTCTACTGAGAAGAAATCAAACCATATCTGGTCCGTTCCCCCCAACTCCCTCAAAAAAAGAAGTAAAGAAAAGAAGGAAAAACCCTATATAAAACAAGCAAAAACAAAAACAAAATCTTATCATCATTATCAAAAACAACAACAAAGCCAAAAGAACAAAAACTGAGGTAAGGGCTGACACTGTTCAAATCCAAATGAAGGAGAGTTAAAAATTTGGATCTTTCTTTCCTGTCTTCTGCTCTAATCCTTTTCTCTTTTTCTCACTTTTCTACTCCTTTCTCCTTCTTCCTTCCTTTATTCTTTTAATCAAGTTCAAACCAAATCATATTTTGAGTTCCTTGACTATTTCAACTTTTAAATATTTAGCAGGTAACCAGTTTTTCCTTTTCTATAAATGCAAGTTCAAAGGAACTGATTAATTTTTCACCTGACATCAAATTTTCTATAAATACCAAATATTTTATGACCACTTTCTAGAAATGACATTTAAAAATTAATACCCAATAAAACTGCTAAATTTTTTCAGGGATAAAATTTGTTTCTTAAAGTGATTTCTTCTTTTGAGAATTATTTACTGATAAATACAACTAATATTTAAAATATATCTACTCAAAAATATATCTGCTCACTTCCTGAATTTCTCACTCTTCAGTTAGACGCAAAGTAAATTCTTCTATTAGTTCTATTTTGTAGCTGACCATCTAGCTGATAATTTTTAAGCTGTAGATCTATGTATCACAAATATTTCAACATAGCTCTTAGATATTTAAACGGATCTCTTATTCAAACAAGTTACAAGTTCATTCTTGAATTGAAATGTATTTTGTTAAACCCTGACACTTAAGGTTCCTATTTCCAAGTATCAATTATTTGCATTTTTATCTCCTTCATTCAGCTGCCCTTGAGAAAAAGCAGATACTTTCTTGGTCTAAAATATCAAGTTAGAACACTTGAACTCCAGTCAAGAATAGAATTTCTTCTAGCTACATATTAGAACAACTCAGAAACAATAAGTGAGTATTAGTCTTAAAATATGCTGGACACAGGTGGCTCACACGCCTCTCAGGAGGCTGAGATCTGAGGATCAGAGTCTGTGACACTCTTATCTCCAATTAACCACCAGAAAGAAAGAAAGAGAGAAAGAAAGAAAGAAAGAGAAAGAAAGAAAGAAGCTGGAAGTGGAAGTGGAGCTGTGACTCAAGTGGTAGAGCTCCAGCCTTAAGCAGAAAAGCTCAGTGACAATGACCAGGCCCCTAGTTCAAACCCTAAGGCTCTCTCTCTCTCTCTCTCTCTCTCTCTCTCTCTCTCACGCACACACACACACACACACTAATCAGCCAGAGTATCTACAGTCCACAGAGAGTTCACATTTGAGACATCATCATGTTTTAATTGAGTATAAAATTGAAGGTCTGTTTACTCTTGGCAAAATTCCTTTCTAATTTGCAAAGATTGAAAAGAGCAATTTTGGTTTTTATTTGCTTCTCGATTTAGCAGAGTCACAATGGTTTCCCTCAGCTTTGCAATGTACATGTTAGCTAATTCTAATGAAGACAAATTCTGCTCAATCAGGACTGTCCCGTTCATTAAGTGAGACAGATGGCAGTCTTCCCATATTTTGTTGGATTCAGCTTCTTGAAGCTGAGTGGCTCATTTAGTGATGTCTATAGGAATAACAGGGATGTTTTTTTTTTTCTGCAGGAGAAAGCAAATGAGTCAATATTTTGGTATAACAAGTTCTCAAGTTATTCAAACAAATGAGCCAACAACATCCTGAATTTGGGGAGATATGGATATATGTTTTGTTTTAGGGATACCTCCAAAACAAGATGTATGTCCATACCTCACATTAAATGATCAACGGGAGGTGATGATTCTTGAGGATATATTCACATGGATACTTTTCTAAAAGATCTTGAGATTTATTGGCTATGGCAAAAGCAAGGACTGGAACAACTCATCCCTGGGCAGCAGCTTCCATGTTGAAATTAGCCAGATTAACTAGTAATTGCCAAGTGTTAGTTAGCCCTCAACCTTGCCCTAATCTTCACTCCCTTGTTATAAGTAAGCAGAACCTCTAAGTAGTGGCCAGAAACATGAGATTTGAGGAGGAAGGTTATATGGGAAGTCATTCTAACTTACTTTTGGTGAGTGGCAACGTTTTACTATTCATTAGGAATTGCTGAATTGTACATTAGGAATTGCTGAAAGTTATAACTTCATTATTGAAGTGGAGGAAGATTACCACATGTGCTACAGTAATCACTAAGGTGAAGACATTCTCCAATCAGTTATCTGCAGTTAGATAGTATCTAAGGCTGAGATGTATCTTAGAAACCTGAAGAAATTCATAGGAAAATAAAAGAGAAACAAAACTTGGTATGGTACTGTTTTTATAAAATGTTAGCCATGTTTTTACTTGAGTTTTCTCATTTCATCACAAACAATGAAATAGCAATATAAAGTCTTTAAGTAGTACTATTATCCATCTTTTTGTTGACTTTTGATACTTTTTGAATTTCCTAAGCTTTTGCAATAATAACATGATGTATGAATTTTGGAATATTATTACACTTATCTTTTAATTAAAATGAGATTTTTAATCTGCATTAATTTAAATTGCTTAAACATGGACAACTTTTTTTCCTACTACTTTTTAGGCAGTAGAAGACTTTGCTATCACTGTGGGTTTTTTGAGTGGATCACAAGAAATTCAGCCCAGGATTAACTCATTGCTCTGAAGGCTTCACGGTACTTATATTTTAAAATCAAATCTTCACCTTGCCTTTGGAAGGTAGGATTCCTACTTAGAAGATGACTTTCCTTCATAGAGGGGGGAGACTCTAGTCCAGAGATATCAGGTTCCAAGGTCATAGTGGTAGGCTGGGACCAAAACTTCAACTATGTCCTCCATGTTCTTTTCCTTTAGCCACAATTCTTGTCCTTCTACACAAATACAGGACTCTGGAGAAGTTCATCAACGCCTTAGGTTTCACTTTCTCAGCTGCAGAATGGTGGTTTGGATTTTTTCCACCTTAAGGCTTAGCTATCTCTTCAGTGTGAAACTGGGCTTATTCAGTAGGATGAAATAGGATTAATGAAAGTTAGTTAATGAGGTCAGTGGACCCAATGGACCCACTGCAGAGGTCCGTGAGTATAGAATATGCTTCCAAGAAGCCACTGTGGTTGTTAGGAACTTGAGCAACCAGGGCAATGGTTTTACATTAACAGTCTCTTAAGAAATATATAGAAAGATGAAAGGAAGAAGAGAAGGAAAAAAGAGAATCAGGAGGAGGAGGAAGAGCTTCTATACATGTAAAAAATTAGTAACAATTTTTCAGTGGTTTACAGACTTCTTAGAGAAGAGTGACACATCAAGAATCTCTACTACACAGTGCACTAATGCTCAACTTTGTTAACATGGGGGAAGCTTATATAGAGTAAGTAATAATGAAAAGGTGAAAACAAGTGATATCACAGATATTGAGAAGAGTTTACCCTATCTCTATTAATCAATGATGAAGATCAGCACGATGGTTGACTATGGGAACATGGCAATTGATTGACAAGTGGGAAGGAGGAAACTTTCTAAAGTGATAGGAATGTCCTATAATTTGACTGAAGCATTGGTTACGTTAGTGTATACAATTTTTTCAGAATAATCATGTGGTATTCTTAATATCTGTACATTTCACCATATGTAAATATTATTCCAATTAAAAAAATACAATATGGAAAACTGGATGCTGGTGGTTCACACCTGTCATCCTAGCTACTAAGAAGGCTGAGATCTGAGGATCACAATTCGAAGCCAGCCTAGGCAGAAAAGCTTGTGAGACAAATGGAGCTGTGGCTCAAGTGATGGAGTGCCCATGAAAAACCCATCTGAGTGAGAACACTGTGAAGCCCTAAGTTCAAGCCCCGGAACCAGCACCAACATAGTAACAATAATAACAACAGCGACAATAGTCATAACAACAACAATAATTCAAACAGTTGTGATGTGCATTTAAAATAGTCATCTGTGTTGTTTGTTTTCTCCAGACAACTGTATGTCCTAGACTATTTGTTGGGATAGAGCAGGAGAAAAAATGTAGGGCATACACAAATATTTTCTTTAGACATATTTATAGAGAATTCTGTGATTTTTAAAATGTTCCTTCCCTTCAAATATTTCCAGAGTGAAGTTTCTGATTTTAGATTTGTGACTGTGATTTCTCCCCCAGCCTGGGTGCTGTATGTGTAGGTTTGATATCATTGTGCAGGGAGGGAGACAGAGCAGAAATATGGAGTTGAGAGACACTCATGTTTTCTCCGAAAAGGAAAAGGGGGGATCCATTAATCATTTCACTCTTTCCAATATCCAAGATCTCTATATATTTCAAAACACTGGAAGAACAAGATGCCAGGCCTGAATGTGAAATTTAAATTGCCCTAATCCTGTGTAGTAGTGTGGGAAGGTGAGAACACATGTTTTGTCTTGTGGTGTTGAAACGATGGTCCATCTTTTCTACCCATGAATGAGCTGCCCCAAGGCAACTGCCACTGCCAATCCATGTGGTCTAGAAGAACCTCAGCAGCTGGCATCACTGACTCCACACCTGGCAACACACGCGGATGTTTCTCTTCAAGATGATTGGTAGAAGGTTTTTGTTTTTGTTTTTCAGAGATTTTTTTTATCATATTGCATGCCTCACATTAGATATTGTTAAAAAAATTAAAAACCATTTTTTTTACAATTTACAAGTGCTCATATAAGAAGAAAATGACTAAAAAAATACCCACCCAAGCACCCAGAACTCATCTAACTGAACACTGCTAATATTACACAGAATGTGAGTGAAGAACTCGGTGACTTGTGGGGAAGCAGGAGGCACAGTTATTGTCTGGGAGGGAAGTGGAACGAGACGTATCCACAGTGCTGGCCCTCAGTGGTGCTTTGGCTCCCTAAGTCAAATCCAGCAGCCGCATTTCAAAATCAATGGCATTACTTATTTCGACCTAGAAAATAAAACATAAATTGCCGTAAACAACTTCAACATTAAAAAATGACAATCCTTTCTCTTCATCCAGACCTTTTGAAATGCAAATCAACTTCTGCTTATCTCTGCTTCTGTCGAACCAATGGCAAGAAGAAAGCTGGAATACTAGGTTTTCTTACTTTTCAGATTAGGGTGGCAGTTGGGCTTTAAAGTATGGGGCCAGTTTTCTGGGAGAAAGTGCCACTCAGACAGCAGTTGTGAGGTGATAGGATCATTATTTGGGTGTATCAGAAGTAAAGATGACAGAGGTGTGTTGTGCCTACCAGCCACAACTCTGGCCTAATATTCTTCCAGAATCTACATCAGCATTGTCCTGTCTGACTTTCATATCACCTAACACTGGACCCATTTCTCTTACATACACTCTTCCTTGTGATGCTTACTTTCGTGTGTCAAATTGGCGAGGCCATAGTGTCCTGATATTTGTTCAAATACCAGTTTAATGTCACTGGATGGTATCTTTTAGATGAGATTGGAATTTAAGTCAGTAGATGTTGTGTAAAGAACATATGTGGATCTCATCTGATCAGTTAAAGGCCTGAAGAAAAAAAGACTATAATGTTCCTGAAGGAGAAGAAATTTGGCCTACAAATTGCCTTTGGATTTCAGCTACAATATTTTATCTTTTTTGGTCTCCAGTTGGCCAACCTAACCTGCAGATTTTGGACATGCCAGTCTCTATTGTGTGAGGTAATTTCTTAAAAATCGGCCCCCTGTCAGTCTGTTCTTCTCTGCATACACCCATACCCTGATATGCATGCTACTCATTCTATTTATTTGGGGAACATCACCTAATACATACTAACATGTTCAGTCCACGATTTGGGCACAGACTCTGAATTTCATATTCCTGATTTTGTCCTAAACAAGAAGCCTTGGGAATGGGAGATTCTGAATTATGACCCTTGCACAAAACCAACACTCACACTGTACATGCTGCAGAGTTAATATTTGTTGTATTTATCACCTCTCACAGCTCCTCTGTTGTGAGGTCTTAGCTGATCCAAATCTTACTTACCTTTGAAGATCCAGTTGGAATTTGTCTCTGTGAAGATTTTCACCTCTCCTCAGGCATATGGCTTTCTCATCTGGTTACCAATACCTCTTATGTAACCAGCTGTGACTTGTACACATCTGTGCCGTGTACACAGATGCTGGCCTCCAGTGTCACAACTCGCCATCCTCTATTATTCCACCCAGTCATGGCAGTTTTATCTCTCCAACTCCCAAATTATAAGCGTTACAACAAAAAGACTGTGTCCACACTTACTTTATCTCTCCATCTAGAAACTTCTTTTCTACTCAGTTCAGTAACTATTCTACGGTCTGAAATGTATTATTTAGTCATAATTTGACAAGAAATGTACTCACCACCTTATGAATGTAACTGTAACCTCTGTGTATATCACACTGACAATTAAATTAAGTTAAAAAAGAATTTCTCAACTTCCCAGTTTCACCTTACTTTGGGAGCCGCTCTTGTGAAAGTAGAGGATTCAATCTTTGACACCTTGGCTCTGTCCTACCTTTTGATGACATTTCCGTTGCTCTCTGGCTTCTTTGTGTGTGAATTACAAGTCCATCTGTCTGTTCCTATTACCACTTTGAATTTTAGCAGGGATTTAAATGGAAAGATAAAGAGTTGGTTTATTATGATGGGATTTTATAGTTTTAGGAAATCTCTAAGTCAGAAAGGGCAAGTGAAGCTCATTTATCCACTCAGTTCATAAGGTCCTTTTAAGTTGAAGATAAAACAATAGGTAAAGGCATGCTTCTTTGTTAATGGGAGTATTCATGTGAGCTGAAGGCATCTCAGAGTATTCGCTCCATTCATCTTTAATGTGAGATCTGCTTCTGAGGTAAGGTCTACAAGGCGCCATTCAGATATGGGCTTTCTCATTTTGGAAAATAATTTTATTTATTTATTTTTGTCGGGGCCTGAACTCTAGGCCTGGGCGCTGTCCCTCAACTCTTCAGCTCAAGGCTAGCACCCTGCCACTTGAGCCACAGTGCCACTTCCAGCGTTGTTTTTTTTTTTTTTCTTCTGCTTATGTGATGCTGAGGAATCGACCCCAGGGGCTCATGGATGCAAGGCAAGCATTCTATCACTGAGCCACCTTCCCAGCCCAGAAAATAATTCTTATGTTCATGAGGCAGCATAAGAAGGCTTTCTAATATTCTGGGAGCAGAGAGTGCGGTCACATGGCAGGAGAAATGTCTGTGTCCTCAGCGAGATAGGACAATGATGGTCCTGAAGATCTCCCTAGACCCTCTTGCGTCTGCACTGTTGGTGATATCATGGCTTCCTAGAAATGAGAGTGGTCCAAGGACTAACAACTAACAACTATGATCAAGAGATCGAGCCACCTCAGCCACACAAATCCATACATTTCATTGCTACACAGTCACCATCAAATTACTACATATTAGCATAAGCTCTTACAGTAGTCCCTGAAATGGTGAAATCATTTCCTATGATGGATGGGAAAGTTACTAATGACTGTGACAGGGAAAGCACTCTAAAGCCAGGGAGGGGAATGAGTCCTAATGCAATTGCTGCTTTGCTAAGTAAGGCAGGCAGGGAAGCCTATCTCTCACTGGGGACAACTAACATGCTCGCAGTGTTTGCAAGTGCAATGCCTTTGAGGGGTAATGCCTCCATAAGTGCCTTCCATTTCCAGGGCCTGTGACACTTGGGAAATGGGACTCCATGCTCAGTAATGGGAACACTGCATCCTTCTCTATGAGAACAGCTCAGTCACCTTACTGTGTGTGTGTTGTAGAGGACAAACAGCAAAGAGGATTTTACATAGCTTGTTGCTTTGTCTGTGTAGATAACTATTAAGCCTTAGCTGATCAAGAATTAATGAGAATAGAACAAAGAAAGAGTTTCCATTTTATTCATCTTTATATTCCTACAGCCATAGTTTGTTAGCACATGACTGGTAATGTGTGTGTGTGTGTGTGTGTGTGTGTGTGTGTGTGTGTGTGTGTGTGTGCTGGTTAATTGGATATAATTCATGCAAGTTTTTCTGTCCAGGCAGGCTGGCTTTGAACCATGATCCTTACATCTCAGCCTGTTGAATAGCAAGAATTACAGGCATGAGCCACCAGTGTAGTGATTGTTGGTCTTTAAAAAAGCATATTTTTTTCACCTTCCCAACTTTTTCTCTTTCTCACACATACATGAGTTCACACATAGACACACATACACATCTTATATTTTCTAATAGTGTCTGATCTAGATACTGTAAATGCAATATGGTCTGATATGAAACTAATTTACAAACAGGACTACTGGCACAAAAGAGCTGTTCTCTGGAAAGAGAAACAGACCTTCCCACCTCTGCATCTGTCCCACTTCCCAATGTCAGGAGTAGATTTCCTGCAGGCCTGGACTTTTAGACACAGAGGCCCAGCAGTAAGGGCACCTTGAGGAGCAGCAGTGCTAGCTTGAAGTGGGGATTAGTCTCTTCTGTCGATTAGCATTTAGTGGTGGGAACAGCCACTCAATCAGCAGTGGCCACATAGCATGTAGCATTTTTTTTTGTGAAGAAAAATTAGCTTCCAGCAAAGGCAATCAGATAAGTCAGGAAAGAAAAGAGTAGTCAAGTTCTTATTTGGAAATCTTAGAAAAGATTACTTAAAAGTGATGGGCAGAGTTCAGGGCTGATTTTCTTTATCAAGTCTGCCTTCACTGCATCGTGGGGCATCTTCATGGAAATTTCTAGAATGATCAGATTTGGCTCTACTTCTGTACAGCTCAGTCCTAGAATTCAGCTGTTATTCCCCCCCCCCTTTTTTTTATAAACTGCCTTAGTCTAATTATTTTTAGGGGAAGAATTACTGCTACATGGAGCTTAATTTTCTTATTATCCAGTGGCTAACCATTTTGATGGAAACACACCAGTCATGATTTTGACAAAAGTTTAATTTAGTGGCTCACTGTGTTCTCTTAGTTCCGTCTCACTTTCGTAGCGGTGTGGGTTTTTGCTATGCTGTTTTTCTTCCTGTGGGTAAATCTGTTTTTGCCAGCCCTTTCCCCTTGGGTCACCGCTATGTCCTTGCCACGCCAGGCTGAGTGCCCCCACGAAGCCTCGCTGAGTACTTGACTCTTGCTCTAAGCCTTTGCAGTTTGTCCTGGTGAAATGTGGAGTCAGCATGTGGGGAAAGTAATGGGGTGATCCGGGTGGGCACTAGATTGGAGTCATGATGGGAGTTCTACTTCCTCACTGGCAGTGTGGCAAGATGATGGAGTCCTGACCTGTGTGTCGCCTATCTGCAAGTCAAACCCAGATGGCAAGCACTGACTGCATTTCTATAGCTTCAGGCACAAAGAGCAATATTAGTTAGTTGGCAAAGCTCTGGCTGCTAAATAGCTCTTAGTGTCCTCCCCAGGAGCTGTCATGGTCCCTGCTTTGCTTCAGCAGCTGCTTCCTCATAGGTTAAGCTGAGTTTATGGGAGAAGTCTGGCAAACACTATGTAGGTTAGCCATTTTAACTTTGTCCTCTGTACCATAGCAATGCAAGTTAGCCCCCATGCTGGGAGTGGGATGGGCACCGATTTTCTTCTTCAATCTTTGTGTGTGTGTGTGTGTGTGTGTGTGAGCACATGTGTGTGGGTATTAGGGTTTGCACTTCACAAACAACTGCAGTACACTTCAGCCATGATTCAGCCCTTTATATTCTAGTTTATTTTTGCTTGGGTTGGGCTCAAGCTACAATCCTCCCATCTCTTCATCCTGTGTAGCTAGGATTATAGGTGTATACCAAAATGCCCTGTCCCTTGGCTTCTTTTTATAAAATATGACTTTTTTGAGCAGTTTTTGAAAGGAAACACAGAGATTTCTCATAATCTTCCCCACTATCCCCCACCAAAACGGTACCTTTGTTTACAATTGATGAATGTATATTAGTGCTCTATTGTTACCCAAAGTCAGATTCGTGTCAAATATTCTGTTTGGACAATGGCGTAAAGACAAATACCCACCACTACTGCATTGTCCTGAATAGCTGCACTGCCTTCAACGTCCTCTGTACTTACTCATGTATGTCTTCCTCTCCCAGACCCTGATCTGGATAATTGTCTCCACAGTTTTGCCTTTTTCAAAGTATTAGATAACTGTAATCATACAATATGCAGCCTTTTTAGTATGGCTTATTTGTTTCATTACATGCATTCACTTTTCATAAATTGACAACTCATTATTTTCAACACAAAATAATAATGCAATTATCTGGATTACTAGTTTATTATCCATTTGCCTACCACGGGACATCTCATTTTGTTTTGTCTTTTCCAAGTTTTAGAAATTATGAGTAAAGCTCCTGTAAACTTCTGTGTGCAGGTTTCTGTGTGGAGGTTATTTCTCACCTCCTTTGATAAATATGAAGGAGCTTCATTACTCAATTGTGTGGTAAGAGAAAGCTTAGTTTTGTAAGAAACTACCAAACTGTCTTGCAAAGTGTTTGCTTATTTTCTTTTAATGGACTGTGCACATCTTTTCAATGTTGGCTCAGCATCTGCTTCTGGGACCTCTTCACTGAAAGCACCCATCTCTACTTAACATCATTTTGTATTTACCATTTCTATGCCTGTCTCCTTTCCTAGATCATTTGCTGCTGGAGGTCAAATCTCAAGTGCTAATTTATCTTTATGTAACCAGCGCCTAGGACAGTGCCTGGTACACACATTCTAGATAATCAATGAATGGCTAGAACATGAACTAAACTGACTTATTTAATCAGTGGGGGCAAGACGGCTTTGGTATCAATAGTATAAAAAGAAAGACAAAGTGTGGAAAGCTAGACTTTAATGTGAAACACCTCAGCTCTACCACAACTGCTGTCCCAGCATACATAGTCATGTGTAATTTGTTTTTTTTTTTTTTTTGGGTCCCGTCATGGGACCTGAACTCTGGGCCTGGGCACTGTCCCTCAGCTCTTCAGCTCAAGGCTAGCACTCTACCACTTGAGCCACAGCACCACTTCCAGTTTTTTTCTTTTTGCTTATGTGGTGCTGAGGAATTGAACCCAGGGCCTCAGGCATGCAAGGCAAGCGCTCTACCACTGAGCCACCTTCCCAGCCCCTGTCATGAGCAATTTGACTGTGGGCATACTAAACTGAAACATGGGAACAGAAGTTTTCCTTCTGAACAATTCTTCAGTGTCACTGATGAATAGTCTGTCAGCTTGCATCTATTCATCTCACATTGAAAGGTATCTGTTCATATACACATGCCTGCGATATCCCAAGGGTTCTTCTAGTCACCTTAATTAAGTGACTTCCTTATAAAATCTGGCTTTGCAGTCCATGGAGATTAAACAGCAGTAAAGAAAGCTGAAAAGCAGTATTCACTCCCCTCTCTACCAATTTAACGCAGAAGGCTGACTTTTTCTCTAAACTATTGGGTAGAACAGCAGGGGCTGATGTGGTATTGTTGTCCTGGGAACAATGAAATCCAATATGTAATCATCATTAAAAGAGAAGTCAGCTCATGCCTGTCATCCTAGTTACTCAGGAAGTGGAGATCTGAAGATCATTATTTGAAGCCATCCTGTCCAGAAAAGCCTGAGATTCTTATCACCAATTAACCATTTAACGGAAGTGGAGTGATGGCTAAAGTGGTAAAGTGGCAGCCTTTAGTAAAAAGTTAAGGGACAGCACCCAAGCCCTGAATTCAAGTTCCTGCATGGGCATAAAAAAAATAACAGGGAAAAGAAAGAAATCAAGCAGATAGAAGCCAACAAGATTTGTGCTACAATATTTGCATACAGAGGAAGATCACAGACATTGCCCTCTTAAATTGTTTCATGCAAAAGATTTCAGTTCAGGCTCAGTTTGATCATGGTTGAAAGATGTTCCATATCCATCTGACAGGATAATATGCATATGCTTTCAAAGCAGAAACCTGTTTGACTGCTTTTTACAGCCTGTGGCTTATGCTACATTCAACTGCAATGCTGTGAGTTCAGCAGTGCACAGAGGCTGAGAGAAAACCCTTTGAGGAGGTGGAGGAGTTGATCAAAGCCTTTTAGGTGATCTGAAGAGGGTGTTTTTTTTTTATGTATTCCGCATTCACAGAGATGGAAGGTTCTTCAGAGCACATAAAAGGAAGTCACTTGCCTCTGGGCCATTCCACAGAACATTGTGGAGGTGAGTAGGTATGTGTGAATTCATTTTTTAGTGTCATGAAACCCATTATCAACATTCATCAATTGCAGTTCTTAATCACCTTCCCTAATAGAAAGATCTCTCTTATATTGCACTATTCTTCATATTGTAATATCTCCACAGAGTTTCCTTTTTGTTCTCCACAGCAAGATGAAAGAACCCGTTCATCTTTTTCTTATCTCAAAGCAAATACATGAAGGCTTCCAGAGTTACCAGTAGGCATGCTTTCAGTATTTTTTTCTAACTTCCAATGCACTCAACATCTTTATTATTGCCATAATCCTTGTCAAGCTTCTCAGAGACACAGATATAAACATTTGGAGCACATTATTTACCTGCACTCAGAAACAAAAATAATGAGATGAAGAAACTTGGTCCTGGGTGTTTTATAGGGCAAATGTGTTTCCAAATTGGATTTACTTTTAAGAAACTAAAATTTATTTAAACATTTATCACCGACTTAGTGTAGCCTATGAGATATGCTTCCTTTGGTTCATTCTTCCAGACTAAAATTAATCCTTTTCCCTTTCCTCCACCCCCCTGGAAAAAGCAAAAGAGACATTGAAGGCTGTGTAGCGCTTCAGTCCCTAAGATGCTGGGAAATTCATGTGGATGTGGGCAGGAACTTCTGGCAGGAAGGCAATAGATGGAGCCTTTTCTCTGTGTTGTTTTACATGATATTCTCCATCACGTGTTGAGCTAAATGGACAGGAAAGTACAGGGAGATCATCTGAGGAGGTGGACCCCAGTTTATGACCCAGGAAAGGATCCAGTTCCACAACTTGAGTGAATCTGTTTCCTTATTCATAATCAAGAATACTAATCAGTATATTTTGTATTTTCAGGAGATTGGGGGTGAGATAGCAAAGCAGTGTGCTTAGAACATGATAGCTAGTATCATTCTTCACATTCATCTATTTGCTCCTTAGAATTTGTTTTCAGAAATAAGCATGACTGCTTTTATTTTCTTGTTTTGTCAACTGATTGACAAAGATTCCTTTCTTATTTTTAACTATAATTGGTAGCACTTTTTCCACTGCTGTTGCTGACTTTCTTTTCCTCCCTATCTTCTTCTTGGGACATAGCAAACATTCCTGAACGTTTTAGGACATGTTTTAGTATATAGAACAATACAAAGCTATACATGTGAGCTGTGTACACTTTAATTCATCCTCCCTGTTAGTCTATCCATTTCTCCCCATGGACATATTGCAAATGACAGAAGAAGTCTCAGAGACAGTGAAGAAAGTACCCAGAACCCCACATGTAGACCCTGGATCCTCACCTAGATCTTTCTCTCTTTTAAGACACCCATCCAGTCTTCCCTTCTGCAGAATAAACAATAGATGGTTTTTATTTGCAATCAAAGTGATGTGAAATTAGCTACTGGTAAGGAAAATAAGACAAAACATTGTTTTAGAAATGTAAACCCCATCACCCACTTGAAATCTTTTCTGGAATGAAAAATAGTTACATATGAAAGGTGTATTTTAGATATGAGTGAAAAGTTAAAGCAATGATTAGTACTAGCTCCAAATTGCTGATGGTTTGGTTAGTTTCAGCCAGGTTAGAAGGATTAATATTTTTCTATGCCTTTACTTACAGGTTTAACAGGCTTTAACTCAATATGATCCTGGTAGTAGGAATGTGTATCAAGTCCGCCTATGAAATCAACTGAAAATACAATAGCCCAAGTTGAATAAATGTGTAAATAAAAGCACATATAATACTAACTGCTTAAAATAGAGTATATGCATAAGGTTAATAACAGAAATTTTGTACTAATACTAGAAAATGTATACTTAGTGTAAAAGGCTACTAAAATATTGTCGATGATGCAAAAATGTGTGAACATTTTAAGAAGCACATAAATTATCTGGGCTCATAGATTTTAAAATCACAATTTTTTTATCTTAGGGTAAAAATAATTGGTTTAGTGAAAATTAAAGTAATATTAAGAGTATGTGATTTTAAATAATGTGTTTGTCTACACACATGAAGACACAGCCTCTTTCCGTATATATGGACACATATAATATATATATTCTTGTTGCCAGAATCCATTTCCATCTGAATGTTCATATCATCATTTAAAAGGCAGTAGAGACATCATATGCTCTGTCCCTATGCTTTTTTTCCTTAAGACATCCCTGAGGAGATAGGAACTTGTCCTTTGCAAAAGTTTTACAAACTCCTGGGTGGCATGGATTTGTCTACTTCATGTGGTAATCATCCTAATTTAATTTTGTTTTGCTCAAAGCCTCAATCTTTCTCCTCAATTCTTTCTCTTTTCCTATGGACCATTAAAATATTATTTTTGGCCAAGCTTTGGTTATGTGATAACACTATAATATTAACAGGTATATTGGCACATGAGGTCACTAACCTTTCAAGTGTGTGTGTGTGTGTGTGTGTGTGTGTGTATGTGTATTTGTGTGCACATGCATGCATACATATGCTAAAACTTACAGTCTGAAAAACTTACAGTATGAAAATATTGTATTCTATTTTGGTTTAAGCAGGCATTGTAGGAACCTTGATTTAGAGAGAAATGAATTAGCCTAGAAGTTCTATTGAATTCTTGACTATCTGTGGCCTCTCTTTAATTGACCTCTGGGTCAATTAAAGCATCACCAGCTCATTGAGTAGAAAGGAGCTTTAGGTGCCCAGAAAACAGTGGATGACCTTCCTCCAGGCAGAAGAGCCTAAGCTTTTTCTAGTAGGTCTCCTGTTATCTGGATATCACCTTAAGGAAAGTTGCAATGACAGGTTAGTGTACCTGAGACACAGAATGATTTTTCTGTAGAGATAGAGCAGGGAGAGATTGGGTCAGGGATTGGGTCAGTTAAAAATAAACTTTTATTAGACTAGTATTCAGTGAAATAGCCGTTCTTCTAGCCTTTTGATAATGTGTATTTTTTTCTTTGTTGGTCATGGGGCTTGAACTCTGGGGCTGAGCACTATCCCTCAGCTCTTCAGCTCAAGGCGAGCACTCTACCACTTGAGCCACATCTCAACTTCTGGTTTTCTGGTGGTTTATTGTAGATAACAATTTCATAGCCTTTCCTGTCTGGGCTGGCTTTGAACTATGATCCTCAGATCTCAGCCTCCTGAGTAGCTAGGAAGAGGCACATTGATTCAAAATTGAACAATATATAACTGTACACATATATGCATGTATGCACACATATGTGCGTATATCTATAAATATAATAGTTCACTTAGAAAATTATATTCAAGAAAATAATATTTCTAAAAATAAAGACATCATATGCCCATATATATTAAAGCATAAGAAAAAAACAGAATACTGCTGGGCATTGGTAGCTTATGTCTGTAATCCTGGTGACTATGGAGGTTGAGATCTGTGGATTGGAGTTTGAAACCATTCTGAGCAGGAATGTCCATGAAACTCTTATCCCCAGTTAACCACAAAAAACAGAAGTAGAACTGTTGCTCAAATGGTAGAGCACTAGACTTCAGCAAAAAAGCTCTCCAAACCCTCCTGAGCTCAAGCTCAGTATTGGCACCCTCCCCGAAAAACAAAAGAAGAAAAGAAAAGAAAAAATAAAAGAATATACCTCCCCAGTCATGCAGGAAGTGGAGACAGTAGGGCCATAGTTTAAAGCCAATCCAAGAAGAGAAGTGATTGGGACTCCTGTCTCAAGAAATGAGCTGGGTACAATGGATGACACCTCTAATTCTCAACAGGTAGGAATTGAAGGTAGGAGGATAGTGTTCAAGGATGGCCCAGACAAAATATTGAGAACCTATTTGAAAAATAAACTGAAATAGAAAGGGCTCAAGGCCTACCTCAAGTGGTAGAATGCCTGCCTGGAAATTATGAAGTCCTGAGTTTAAACCCCATTACTTCCAAACAAACAAAAACCACTCTACAATAATCATTTGAATATTAAAATGGAACATTAGCCATATCATTTATAGAATATTTAAATTCATGAAAGCCAATCTGTTCCTTAGTAATTTTAGTTTCTAACATATGTGTTTTTGGAAGAATATATATGTATATATATATGAATACATGTGTATATTATTCAATATTGTTATTTTTTAATATTGTTATTTTTTAAAATTTATTTACAACTTCCTTCTTATGCCTCGTAGAGTCTTATGGCTACTTAGTTTTAAAACTTGAGTCTGCCAGCCTATAATGCTTTAATTGAAGAAAGAGCCTTCCAGTTGGTGCCACTAATCCCCATGCAAATTCTTAACATGTGTGATATATGTGATATATTTTAGCTCAAATATTTCCCCAAGATGTGTCACTTTGAGTATCTTTCTTTGGCAAAAATTTGCAAGGCCAAAACCATAAATTGTATCTAGTTATGATTTTTTTCATCAAACGTAGATGCTGAGAAATTCTCAGCCCTCTCAAATCAACTTCTTTTCATGCTGGTACAGAACACAAATTTCTTCAATTAAAATCAGAGCTCCCCTAAAAGAGTCTTTTCCCAAGGCACGATATTTCAAACATATTACAAAAATGAAGGATCAAATCCTGTCTGATACTTGAGTTCTAATGATTAAATTGGCCCTATTTTGCTTTTGTGAGGATAAATTTAAAAGTTTTCTTTTAATAGGATTTTATCTATAAGAATTTACTAAAATCTGTGAAAGCTGATCTTGGGGGGACATTTTACTAAATAACTGATTTTAAGTTTTCAATTGATCTTGAATGTAGCCCAACTAAAATGTAGAAGAGGCATTTACAAAAATATTTCCAATTATTGTGAAACAAAGAAATCACAAGGTGAGTCTTCAAAGTCTGCTTGAAACAGGAAAGGAAAGAGAGAGAAATGTGCTTTTCATGCTAGCAGTTTTTTCACTTGTTTCAAAACACCAGCTTTATCATAGAAGTATTTTCTTTATCTCCACATATGTGTGTATATGTATATAAGCTTGAAAGCGAAGGTTTCTTTTTTAGGTAGTATAAATTTATTAAATGTTTACCATAGGCAAGCAAAGTATATTGTCTGATTGTCTCATATTTCTTGTGGAGAATATAGTTAAGGCTAATTTCCACTGGCAAAATATTGCAGTGTATGGGATAAGTCACATTTGTATTTATACTCTTGTATTAAATACTAATTGATGTGAGTATTATAATAATCATAAAAATGCCTTTAAGCTCCCTCTTAATAAAGGCAGAAGCCATCAATTAAACACATAAAGCATTGCAGTGTTATTGCTGTGCAGTTATTAATTGCCTATGCAATTGAATTCTGTATATAACTCTCCTTCATAAGTTTCTTAGTAAGAACACTGTGCCTTTAGCTTTTCTTACTGAAACTTACTCAAAGTTTACATTTCCATTATTTCCACAAATATACTTTATCTTTGATACTTATTTGTTAATGGAGCTACCATAGAATTTAAAATAACATTAGAGCTTTATCTTGGACAGAATGACATTATAGAAGTTTATTTTGATGTCATAAATTAAAAAATTAAGAACCTCAGATTTAGAGTTTTGCTTTAACTTCGATGCACCAAATGCTGAAACACCAATTCTGGAGAGCATTCAGGGTATCTTTTATGTCCCATGTTTAACCACATTCATCAACTAACTAGAAGGTTTAAGTGTTTTGTTTTGAATTCAACTGAGTGCTGCCTTGTTACTGAACTGTGAAGCACAGAGCCCTCGCACTCTGAATTTGACTCAGAGAAAATATAAGACTTAGGATGATGAGCAACAATTATTATGGTGCTGGGAACTGAACTCAGAACTTCCTGCCCACAAATCAAGGGCTCTGCTACTAAGCGATACCGTCTTTTCCATGAGTTTGTTCTGAATTTGCTCCTTGGCTTATCATTATTCATACTAGAATGTAATTAGGCTCTTCTAATAGGTACTTTTTCTCCTTCCTTCCTTCCTTCCTTCCTTCCTGCTTTTTGCTGGTAGTAGGGTTTCAACCTAGAGCTTTGCACTTATTTGGCTGGTACTCTACCACTTAAGTCACACCTCACACTTCCAAACAGGCTTTTTGCTGATTATATTGCAGATGGCATCTAGTGGACTCATCTGCTTTGGCTGGCTTCATCGGGAACCTTCAGATCTCAGCCTTTTGAGTAGCTAGAATTATAAGTGTGAGTTACTGTATAGCTGCCTGGCTAAAAGACAATTTAATTTGATTGTTTTAGGTACTAGGGCTTGTACTCAGGGCCTTGTGCTCTCATGTGACTTTTTTGCTCAAGTATGGCTCTACTACTTGACCTACAGCTCCACTTTTTATTTATTTATTTATTTACTTATTAATTAAAGATAAAAGTTTCATGGACTTTTGAACCTCTATTCTCAGACTTTAGCCTCCTAGGTAGCTAGGATTACTAGTGTGAGCTACTAGAGACCAGTGTCCTGACCTACAAATTCTTCAGGAAGCATTGCTCAGGCCTCAAAGAACTTAACTATTTTGACCATTACATTGGTATTTGCATGTTCTCTGACATAGATTCCTATGACAAAAGCGGTTGGGGAGGTTGATTGACATCAACTTAGTTCAGTTGACATCAGCTTACTTCACTAGTAATGATGGCTTCGAGGACAGACCAGTTATTTCATAGGTAGCTTACAGCCAATAGCTAGTGTTCCTGGGGAATGAGCCACTTACCTGCTTTCATCCCAAGAAGCCGAGCCTTCATAAGGCTTAACCTGT